ACTTTAAACTTAACAGCATTATAATACACGCTATAAATCACAGCGATTCACACTCTTTACTTACCGTGCCTACTGCTCACTTGACTCAATTATCTATCTCTTCAATCTATCTGCAGATCTCTTTGATGGCGCTGGTTTTTCTCGCCAGGCTTATATACTAAAAAAAGAGGGCGCCTCGAACAGACTAGAGTTGCCAGGAAAATTCATGATCCTTCGAGAAACTTCAGCGTCGCGTGACTTCCGCTGTCGTAACAATATATATATATATATCTTAAGCAATTTATACGCAGAAAAATTGAGAAGAATAGATTAGTAGCATTAATGCTATTTTTTCCAAATACCTAAATACGTTCACTGTTGTGAATGAAGGACAAACTGAACAACATAATTTTCATTCAGGTTCAACTTGTTTACGATATTTAATGCAAACAATATTTTACATATTTATTCAATTATGGTACGACATTATTTCTGTATAATGCCACATAAGGTAAAACGATAAGTGCGTTTTTACAAAGCATATCAGAAAATTCAACTATTACATTTCGAAAAGTGCGTGGTTGCTGAAGATCTGTGGGTCTTTAATTTATTTATAATGTTTGTTTGCTCTCATGAGTAAAAAAACCCAGCAAAAACAGTGGCCTCGTTCACTTGTTTCACCTTCTTTACGTTCAACGTACTCTTTCTACTACATGAGTCGGAGAAGTAGTGTAGAGGCTTTACAAAATGGAAGAATCAACTAGGGGAAGGTTTGCATGGTGACGTACTAGCTGGTGACGTTCACGAGGGCGTGAGGCTGACATGCGCCATACTGATAAGTCCTGTTAGTGTTATAAATTTTTCGTTATAACAGTCAGTTGGTTGAAGAGTACGGAGTAACCTTATCTGACGTCACTTAATGTTAGGAGGCAGTTGGCATTATTAAACCTGTGCTTTATTAAACAGGAAATTCGGCCACAAGAAGCCAGTTGTAACCCAGTAAAATATTTAAAGATAGAACATTGTTTAGGTAGATCGAATCGTCCACCAGCCACTCTCTTACCGCTAGCTATATTTCTTGTCGAAAAGAATGTTATCCGCATTCTATTTCGTGTTTCTAGTGTTGATTCTTGTTGATCAGAGTTAATGTTATAACGTTGTAAAAGACAACAACCACTTTGTAAAATCGTGTTCATTGCGTTCTTGTTAAATTCTGTGTATAGCATCTGTCTCCTAGCAACCTACTGGAACACGAGTGTGCCCACCAGGAAATCTATGTGTTTATAAAAGTGCCAGCAAAGATATCTGCCAACAAGATTAATTTCTGTTTTCGTAGAAATGGGGGAAAATTTATATGTATAAATGTCAGTTTAATCATTGTTTTTTCTAAAGATGCACGGTAAGCGGTGAAAGGTCTAACTATAAAAAATAGGAGCCATAATGGGAAATAGCTTTTTACCACACAGTATTTATGTGTTTGCGGTATTTGTTTTGTGCTATAGAAAGAATATCATCACCTGTGATAAAGTAAAAATTTCCCCGGTGCACGTTTTTTCACCACATAAAAACAGCTTTTACAATAATAATACAACTAGGTTTCCGTTCATGTTTTGGTCTTTCCCTGTATTTAATCCCAACGAAAGAATAATCAACGAAGTTCGGCAAACGTCCACATCTAGCGTTTTGAAACAGGCGTTTATCACACAGCCCAAGGTGACGGGGAAACCTGAACTACCAATAATAGGGTACAAAGGTAAGTCAGTTATATAATATTTCAAGATGCTAGTCACGCATTATTGAAATACATTTAACAATTGAAGAGTTAAAAATACTTAAACTTTTAATGTACTTGTACTTCACAAGCGTTGGGTTGAAATACAAAAAACTTCTATTGTCTTACGTTTTTATTTTCAGATACAAATAGGTATAATTTTTTTATTATCTGTACCGTAAGAGTATTTGATTTATGGTTTAAAGTGTTTGTTTGTTTTGGAATTTCGCGCAAAGCTACACGAGGGCTATCTGCGCTAGCCGTCCCTAATTTAGCAGTGTAAGACTCGAGGGAAGGCAGCTAGTCATCACCACCCACCGCCAACTCTTGGGCTACTCTTTCACCAACGAATAGTGGGATTGACCGTCACATTATAGCACCCCCACGGCTGAAAGGGCGAGCATGTTTGGTGGGATGCAGATTCGAACCCGCGACCCTCAGATTGTGAGTCGAGCGCCTTATCCACCTGGCCATGCCGGGCACTGGTTTAAAGTGCTTTAGTTTCCTAGATTTGTAATAAAATGTGTACCAAACAAATTTGCTTGCTGTCTGTATATGTGGGACTGTGTAATATGATCAAATAATTTTTGAGCATTTAAGTATTATAAGTACCAGAAACCAAAAACTAACCCAGTAACTTGTTTAGTCTATGTGGTTTTTAACGTCTTACAATATACAAATAATTGAAATATATATTATTGTTAAGTGAAGCAGTTTTCAGTGTAGTTTTAATAAAATATATTTTATTACGTAACTAATAATTTCGAAAAGTAACTACCAGATTTAATTTTAGTTAAACATGTTTCTGTTGTTTCACGTTCACAAATGTGTTTAATTTAGCATTTTATATTTTTGACTTTTTCTTATAAAGTAAGATATTAACAGTAACAAAGCCTGTGGTGTAGATTATGGAAGCTAAACACAGTTTATAGATACAAGTATTTGTCAGGGTTTATTTTTACTGGTTTGGGTAATGGAAGCTACACACATTTTACAGACTTGCAACGTTAAATATCCGGGGTTCGATTCTCTGCGGTTGACACGGCAGATAGCCCAATATGGCTTTGCTGTAAAACAAACAAGATAGAATGGTTTGTTTTCACTGGTATAGAGAATGAAATCTAAACCCAGTTTATAAACAGAAGTGAGCATTTATCAGGATTTGTTTTATTTTTTCGACATTTTGGTTGTGACTTGTACACATGTAAACAGGATCTGTTCAATGTAGCACAAACTAACAATAAATGAAGATGGTACACACACACACACACACACACATACATATATATATATATATATACATAACC